TGTACCTGTCGTAAAAACTACCTTAGACTTCGTGTCCCCCCCAACCCCCCCCCCCCCCCTAAAAAAAATAAAAATCCCAATCTCATTTAACCATTTGGCATTGTAGAGACGAAGAGATGAATGTTTGGATTAGTTACCGCATTGAGTTTGGTAGAATGTGTTTAAAAATAGGAGTCTGCTTTGAGAAAAAACAGAGATATTGTTTGAGAAGATGTCACCTGAATTATCAAGAGGTTCTTTTAAAAAAAAGGTTTAAGGAAAGAGGTTAAACTTTTTGGCACGAACATCCATTAAGAAAAAGCATTTCTTGAGACGAACTAATTAAAGCAGGTGAATGAAAATGGGTTGGAAGGAGTAGCATTATACGAAGACGAGTTAAAACCAGTTACTATGTGCAATAAGATGTCAAGCAAGTTTTTTCCTGACAACTGATATGATGTAGTTATGTGGTAGTAATTTTATATGTCAGACTATCATGTTTTTTGATGGTTCTAGTTTTGTAATTTATGATCATGCTATACAATTTGTAGGTGTCACATATGCTTAGCCGAGTATGAGGACGGAGATAAAATACGAGTTCTACCTTGTCACCATGAGTTTCATGTATCATGTGTGGACAAATGGCTCAAAGAGATACACGGGTAACATGAAACTGCACCTTACTCTTGATTTACGTTTCTATACATTAGTTCTATTCTCTCACCGCTTTACTAACATGGTGTTCTTCCATATGTTGCCTCTTCACAGTGTATGTCCACTTTGCAGAGGAGACGTCCGAAATGGTTTTGTTGAAGGTTCAGTTTCTAACTCAGCAGCACCTTCTCTTTGAGGTATCTCTAGTGTAATAGAGAGGAAAAGGGAGGGGAAGAGGGAAAAGGAACGCACGCTAAAACCTGGCTCCATAATTTGTTATTTGGTAAATATAGCAAAGGAAAGATTGTTGTATCACTTACCGGAGCATGTTGAAAATGGAAGGATCGGATCATGGGTAGCTTCAGTTACCCCAAGTTTTCTTCGTTCGCCTTGTTCTCAACACAAGGTGAGAGAATAAGGGCCTCTTCCTTTTCTTCTTTCTGACTTTGCCCCATGCAATTTTGTGGAGAGCTTGTACAGATGTATATGGCAGATTTCGCTCTGCAATGCACCCTTGTTAAGAAGGCACATTTTAATGTTTATCGAACAGATAATATTACAATGCACATGCCACTGTACTTGGTGGATGTGTCTTAGGAAATAGGTAAACATATGTATTCTCATTAATGTATACAGATATGTCTGTAATAGGGGAAGTTCCATATCTATATATGATATTATAGTAGACACTTTCATAGCCAAGATCTGGCTTGTCTTGCCTGCAATTGAAATCCTTGCTCGTTTTGTTTTATCATTTTGAGATGAGAAGTCATATATTGATACAGAAGTCAAAAGTAATGTCAGCAGACAATTTTCTGCATTCTCCCTCCATACCCCCCCCCCCCCCCCCCCTCTCGCCGGATGCTATATCGATAGGGGCGACCCTGGCATCCGTGAAGTTTGGCAAAAGTTTCATGTATTATGTCTTTAAGAAATAGTGATTTTTTAGTAGAGGGCACCCTATTGCACAGATTTTCGTTGAATCCAAAAGTGCACATCCGATCTTCAAATCCTTGGGCGGAGTGTACTTGTGGCTATAGTACAAGTGTGTGCAAGCTAGTCTCGAAACCACTATTATAAAAGATATAAATTAGTACCATAAAAAGTACTCCAAGTAACAAATTTTTATACTAACATAGTCGGGACATGATTGAAAAGTTGTAGCTAAAGAAAGTTTTCTCAAGTAGTATGAAGTATAGACAAGGAGGACAAAGATGTTATAACTTATGTTTTGGCACCATTCAATATGGTTGTCAATCACATTTACTATGAATGGCAACATGTCCAACATAAATAAACAGGAAAAAACCATCCAAAGATGATTTACATTAATGTTGAATACATTTAATAAACATATCTCTGGTAGAGCACACCATTTGGAGGCTACAGCTATAAGTAGAATCCATTACAAAGAAAGCTGATTAGTTCTCAGCTTTCTTTCATTGTCCAAATGACTTTACTTTTAAACATCAAAGAAAGGATTATATTTGAGGCCCTTATCAATGCTACTATTAACATAAACTTGACCACTCTTCAAAGGAGAAGTGAGTTTGGCTTGTTTAGAAGGAAATGTATGATGATCTTGTTGAGGTGCAAATAGATTTGGATGGCAATTTTCATCATCATCATCACCACTTTCATCAAATGTTGTCCATCTTTTTGAGTTGTTCTTCTTCTCCCTTGTTATAATACCACCACCTCCTCTCAAGTTTCCCATTTCTCCAACATGGTTCTTGAATTCCTTCCTTACAACATCCAAAACAACATCTGCATATCGATCACACCATGTTCTGAAATCATCAAAGAAAAAAGTTCAGAAAAATTAGTGTTAAGTAATGTCTGATTTCGCGTACACAAAGTAGTACAAAAGTGTGCTTACTTAGGGAAGAACTTTTTAAGGTCAGCCTTGTCAACTGGAAGCCTAGTTGAAATTGCTTCAATCTGATCATCTCTGTTGTGCGATAACAATTAGTAAAAATCCAACTCTATTCAACAAGTCTAAAAACACTAGTAAGAGTAACATAACGAAACAGATTTTTGCTTACGTTAACTCAACACTTGAATTTTTGGCACCAAGTTCTGTTTGAATTCTTGACAGCTCTTTCTTGATACTGTCTCCTAAAACCTGCAAATATGCAACAAAAATGGCTGATTAGATCTCAAACAGGATCACAGATAAGTATATAGAACCTACTTTTCTTCAATAAACGTGTTTGTATGAGACCTTATCGACAAAGAAATCCGAAGGTGCACCGTTAGGATGCAGCTTTCTTTTAATCTGCTTAGTATCTGGACCTTCTCCAACAGGTTCTGCAACAAGCTGACCTAAGTAAGTTCCACCATCCGATTTCTCATCAAGCGACAATGGAGCTGTTTCATCTTCACAGTCATTTTTCTTCCACTTCTTGAATCCTTCAAATCCCCATTGTTTTTTCCCTGATTTCGTCTTTCCTTCAGATTCAGGCTCAGCACGTTGATGATCATCGCTCTGCCCTTCGTTTTGTTCTCTTAAAAACAGACCTTTAAAAGGTTTTTTTCTTGATTTGTCACCTCCACTTTGCTTCTTTACTTTCATTGGTTCACTAGGTAAGCTCTCTACCATAAGAATAGACTTAGTTTCACAATCTGTTTCCTTCAAATGAGTATTCCAAAAGGGATTTTCTGTTGAAACACCTAATTCATTTCTTTCATATTTAGAATCTTGCTTACAGTTTTCACCAAGTATGCCCCTTTCTTCTTTGATCTTTCCATTTTTATTCGACGATGCAAAGCCAAAAACTGAAGCAGCCCCTCCTTTGATTTGCTTGATAGCTGAGTTTTGCTTTTGCTTCGAACTCGAATTCTCTTTGCCAAGATAGGATTTTTCATCCTTTAAATCTATAACAGACCATTCCTCATCTGTGCCTTCTTTCTTTGATCCAACAACTACATGTTTTGCCTCAATCTCAGCTCCTTGAACTGCTAGCCTTTGCAATAATGGCCTCTTTGATGTATGATACTCTTCCTCTGATATACATTTTGCATACAATAACTCCTTCATGAAGAAGCACCATAAAAAATTTAAGCTTTACATGAAAAACCAAATATTTATAAAAAAAAAAAAAAACAACCAAAAGCAAAAGGAAAAAAATAACCAAACTCCCACAAGCTGAAATTTCAGTTTAATTTGGAAAATGAACAACCTTAGAAAAGATTAAAGCTTTACAGGAAAAACAAAAATTCATTAAAAAAAAAAAAAATAAACACAACCAAAAAGACTCCAAGCCTCTAACTCCCAAAAGCTAAAATTTCAGTTCAATTTTGAAAATGTAATTGCGATTACAAATAAATGTAGCTATCTATGGTTCATCTTAAATCATGATAAAAAATCAATAATCACTTCACCAAAGGACACAAATCGCAAGAATTGAGACCAAATTAAAAGAAAAATCCCAACTTTACAGAAAAATTTAAGCTTTACAAGAAAAACCAAAAAATTATAAATAAATAAAAAACTTATAACCTTAATAAGAAGAAAAATCTAACTCCCAAAAGCTCAAATTTCAGTTTAATTTGGAAAATGTACTTGACTAATTCCTTAAAGACGAGCAACTATATAAAAATTTAAGCTTTACATGAAAAGCCAAAAGTTTATAAAAAATAACAACAACCAAAAGAAAAAGAAAAACACCCCAGCTCCCAAAAGCTGAAATTTCATTTCAACTTGGAAAATGTACTTAAAATTACAAATAAATTGAGTTTTCTACTTCTTTTTCCCATCAAATGACACTAATTGAAAGAATTGAGACAAAGTGAAAAAGGGAAAATTACCTGCAAGAAGATCAACTTATCCCTTAAAATGGAAGAATGTTCATGATCAGCAGGAGACGCGATAAGGGTATCGAGCAGATGTGATCTGAAAGCAGAAACCTCAGATTCAGCCAAGATTCCTTCTTTACAAAGACCCATCAAGTTAAGAATTTGATGAAAAGATTCTTGTTGCCATTTAAGGTTGTCGGATTGCTGCTTTGACAACCTTTGCTCAGCAGCTACAATCGCGGGTAATCGCCTTTTCTTGAAAGGAAATGGAAGAATGGTTTTGCAAAGTGAAGTGATTGAATCATGAAGTGAGCTGTAGTATGTTGGTGTGTATGAATAAACCATTCTTGAATTCAAAAAAAGAAGTCTTTTTTTTTTTTTTTTTTTGTATGTGAGGATTTGATTTGAGAATTTAAGGTATGAATTGATCCTATTTGTATTTTGAATCTGAAATTTTTTTGTATGTTTTGATGGTGAAAGGTTTTGTTGTAATGAACAGAGGTTCCAAACGGTCAGTGGAAAGACTAGCCGTTGGAATTTTAAAACGTTGAGCTAGTATACGATGCCGTGTCATTTTCTAAAGTTTCAACTGTTTCTGATTTTGTTGGGAGAAATTCAAAAATAGCCAGATTTACCACTGGTCGTTGAAAAATAGCCAAGTTTTAAAAGTCATCGAAATTTAGCCACTTTAAATCTGAGCGAAAACACTGTTCAAAATTCGGAAAAATACGCCCGCAAATTTTACGGGAGTTCCAGCATAAGTATGCTTAAACTCCCGTAAATTTTACTTTTACGGGACAATAACTATGCTGGAACTCCCGCAAATTTTACGGGAGTTCAAGCATAATTATGCTGGAACTCCCGCAAATTTTGCGGGAGTTCCAGCAAGTATAATTGTCCAGTATAATATACTGGAGTTTGGAGCACTGGTGCTCCAGTCTCCCGCAAATTTTACAGGAGTTAGTAAAGTATACCGGTCCAGCATAATATGCTGGAGTTCGTACACAAATGCACCAGAACTCCCGTATATTATACTGGACCGGTCCCTGTTGCAGCAAAATAGTGGCTATTTTTCATTGACTTGATAAACGCTGGCTATTTTTCATTGACCAGTGTGAAAACTGGCTATACCATGATATTTTAACGATTTTGTTGGATGCGTTTTGGGCCCTGTTTGGACAAATTATAGGCCCAATCACAGCAAGCCCAGTTACACTTTTTGGACAATTACGGTTGGTTTACGAAAATGTCCTCTTTTTGGGTCAGTATTTAGATTTTGTCTATATTTTTAAGGGAAACTACCAGCTATGTCCATTTATAAGTAGCTCATTATAAAAATTGATCAATTCATAAAATATATATTACTAATATTAGCCAATTAGATATTTGTAGCAAAAAAGGTCAAATTTTTACTTTCTTTTGAGTGTGTGTTATTAGAATAGATCTTAAGGAGCTTGAATCTCAGTTTTGGGATGATTTGGTGAAGTTTTGAAAATTCGAAGTAAAAACTCAACATGAAAAAAAAGATATGTGTATCACATATGTATCATATTTGTATCAATTGTGTATCACATGTATATCCATGTATATCTGTATGTGAGATACATGCGTGCGTGATACATGTGTCGATGAAGAATTTTTTTGAACTCGATTTAATTACGAATTTTGATCCAAAACCAGTCCAAATCGCCTCCAATCTTCCTCAAATTTTGTATATTGACTTATCTATATGTTTTCAATGAATTTCAACTATACCTAATGAAAAAGTTCCTTTTTTGCTTAGATTTTTGGAATATTGTATTTTTTTATATATTATTTCATCACCTTATTTGCTACCTCATCCATGAAATTTCCTTTCCGTCTTGCATCTAGTGTTGCTAATCATGCTTAAAAATATGGAAGGAGATTTTTGCATGTGATTATTTGAGAGAAATAACTTAATTTATTTGGTTTTTCAATTTTTATATGTGCTTGGCTAGTTTTGGTAAGTCTATGACTAATGGCTAGGGGTTGGTAAGTTGAGACTTATTTGGGATATTTGTGTAAGTTTTTCTATTTTTAAAAGTTATACAAATATAACCAAAGGCGGAGCTAGGATTTCAATCTTATGAGTTCGAGATTTTAATCCTTTTAAGTGTAAATTAATAATTTGTACACATTCAATATGTTTTTAAAGACAATTACAATATTTGAATCAAAGTTACTGTGTTCGGCCGAACCCGCTCCCGGTACTCTAGCTCCGCTCTTGAATATAACTCTAGGGAAGTTGTCCCTTCCCCACAATGTTAAACTTAGGTCTAATATTTGCTCAATAGTTTTCAGTTTGCTCACAAAATATTATATTGTGATGTATCGTTTGCAATAATTTGCAAAATTTTAAACCGTGGTATAATTTTTCATTTTGCTAAAAAAGGACCTATAGACCATGGTCTAAAAGATCTATCAGTTGCAAGAGAAATAAAAAGAAAGTCATTCACTAAACAGCTGATACAAAAAGTGACAACCGCCAAAAATTTCATGAAAATTACCCTCTAGTAAAGGAGAACACTAATAGATGAGCCAGACACAACTTTGCATTTTAATGATGTATATATGAACCTTTGATCTCAGACACATATATCTTAAGTTGTAAACACATTAATATGTGGAAGATAGACTGTTGATGAGACCATAAAATGCCTTTTCCTACCCTGCCCCAAATCAGTAATAAAGAATATTAGAGCCGTCAAAATGGGCTTGGCCCACGAGGCCAGCCCAATCCAGCCGCTACTTGGGTAGGGCTGGATTGAGATTATTTTAGCCCATTTAAAACTGAGGCTTATAAGCCCGGCCCAAGTCAGTTCGCAAGCCCTTGAGTCTTGATAGAGGCTGGGCCTGGGCTGGCCCGTTTTAAATTCATAATTAAATATCTAAAAAAAGTAAAAACTAAAAAAATATTAACTATAATCCAAAATTTTCAACCTTAGACTTCTCATTTATCCTTACATATCAACTAGAGTTTATATTTTTGATATGCATGTTGTATGATAAGATTAGTTTTCCTTTTGCTTAATTAACAACGAACTAGGAAAGTTTTAAGTGGCAATAATAATTTTTTTCGAAAGAAAATATTACTTTAAATGGTCAATGATCAGTTTGGTTACTTTAATATATTAGTATTAATTATTAAATTGATCTTCATTATAGAAAAATGTCAAGTTTTAATACCCAAAGAAAATTGAAAAACACTAGCAAATTTCACGAATTTTAAAAATTTCATGGACTATAATGATGAAATCAACAAATAATGTTAAACCTTAACATATAAACTTATCGAAGCAATTCCTGAATCGAAGCAAAGTGAAAGAAAAGTACTAAAAATATATTCATGTAACGTTAAAAAAGAAGAGCTAGAGATATAGAGAATTTGCATTTCAATTACGAGATTCCTTATCAAATATCAAGATTCTTGTACACTTTAAATAAACAGAAGTCGTTCATATGATTAAGAGATTATGTCACGAAAAAATATCTAAAGATTTGAAGAAATATTTTTTCCTACAAAAGTTGAAGGGCCGGCCCGCCCTAGCCCGCGGCCCTCTTAGGGCTAGGCTGGGCTAGCCATTTTAAGACCCATATAGATGAAGGGCTAGCCCGCCTAGCTCACCAAATTTAAAAGCCCACGAGGCTTGGGCTGGGCTAACCCGTTTTGACAGCTCTAAAGAATATGTATTTGTAGTATAATAAGAATATTAATCATTTTAATTAAGACCCAAGTATAGGCAAGACAGAAGGCTCATTTATAGCTCCGCAGTCCGCACCATCTGAAATGATGCCCAAAATCAATAACATAGCAACTGCTGGAAAAATAAGCTTATAGTTAACCTACCATTACTAAAAGTGATTGAGAAAAGAATTTAAAATCAGCTAATAGTGTCAACTCCTTATATCCATATCATAGAAGAGGAGCCTAGGCGTTAGTGGTAAAGTTGCTGCCATGTGACCAGGAGGTCACAGGTTCAAGCCGTGAAAATAGCCTCTAACAGAAATGCAGGTTAAGGCTGCGTACAATAAATCCTTGTAATCCGCCCTTCCCCGAACCCCGCGCATAGCGGGAGTTTAGTGCACCGCTTTAAGCAATGAACAAACTTGGTCGATACAACTACAAGAATTGCACAGCAAAAGCCAAGAAAAAGGCAAGATCCTATATATATATATATACACACACACATATATATTATATTGCATTACTGCTTGGTTAAAGTCTGCGTACACACTACCCTTCCCAAACCCCACTTATGGGATTACACGGGGTTGTTGTTATTGTTGTTATCTGTACAAACTCTGCACAATCAATTTTTCAAGTGGCAATCTCCATTCTGCAACAAGGGCAATAGGCATGATTCTCTAACCATGGAACCAAACAACATGAATGGAACTTGTGGTCACATTGCAAGTGCATTAGGTTATCTCCAATCTTGAATTGGTCCAAACAAATGGTGCATTCATCCTTTTCTGAATCCTTCCATTGCTTTACTACCCTGCTAAATGTCTTTATTCCATTTTGCTTCAATCTAAACATCTCTGAATTCTTCTGCAAAGTATTTGATTCTAGTTGCCCGTTTTCGACATCATTAACTCTTTCTTCTTTACTTGTCCTGTATTCAGTAACCACAATGAAGTATCAACTCACCGATGTCACATTAACATATTCAAAAAAGCACCGAATATGAGGATTTAATATTGAGATGCATGCCTTAAGAAAAACACTCACATGGTTGTTGGTAGAGGAAAAACTTATTCACACCCGGTGTTTGTACTGAATCAACTAATACACGACATATACTTTTCACATAGTACAATTTATCAAATATCAAATAACCATGATAAAGAAATGTAGTTCAGGGTAAAACAACGGGTGTGAGTAGGTATTTTCCATTATTGCTATCCGATATGCGATGGAATCCTTTATCAATGAAATATTATAAATGCTTGAGTATCTATAATTTCATTTTATAACAAAGCTAAAAGGAGTGAAACTTCGGTCAATAATGTTCCTCTAATTAGCACGACATGCAGGTTTTACTTCAATTTTAAGCCAAAATTATCCTTTATGTTTAAAGATAGGTCAAAATAGTCCTCCATTTATAATTCTGAGCATCCTTTACCCTTTCGGTAAGAAACATTTGCGCGGATTTGGTCCAATTCTTCGAAGAAAACTAACAGACTAGGCAAAGAAACAACAGCTCACATATGAAAGCCACATGAGAGGCAAAAAGAACGCCCAACTCTGTACTTCACCCCATCCCATACAACTGATGAAATCCAACCAGCTACATAACAGTGAACTGATGATAAATCTTCTCCGCCGCCCACCACCCCAGGTTCCTAGACGCCCCAGAGGTAAGTAGTAAAATAAAATTTACGAGCTCATGACTAGGAGAAACAAATTACCTGAATGCAGAATGCAGATTTTGCACTTGGGAGGATGATCAAACAGAATCTTTATATATATTTCTTAAGCACAACACATTAAGTCAGTTAACAAAAGAGAAGTTCCTTTTAAGGGCAGTAGTCAGATGTGGAAAAAAGATGAAACCTCCACCAAAATCCTCATTTTTCACATTATCCCACCTTCCGTCATTGGATAACTTCCCAAGGCAAGCTCAAAACAAGATGCTTATCAAATCCCACAAGTTAGAATTCACTCTCATCAAGAGGCCAACTTTCCCTCAGAAAATGCATTTTAGGACTTTATATAAAGAAGATCAAACCAGTGATTTCCAACAGAGGATCACAACTACACATAAGTTTTGAATACCCGTGCCATGTTACCAGAAAGTTGGAGAGAAGTAATTCTAACATCATATAAGTACACACAATCTCTATTCATTACAGAGGTAAAATAGCCCGAGCAAACTGACAAGCTGAGTTATGTATAGATGCCTGTTATTGAAAATAACTATATCTACGAAAAGTTAGAATGGACGAAACTCGTTATCCCCCTCTCATGGGCAAATCACTTGCGGTCTGTCCATTAGTTTTAGCTTCTCTTTAGTTCATTCCATTACTCGAACTAAATCCGCTCAAGTTTTGGAAAGTTAAAGGTTAAAAGGTGCCCAAGGTTGTATATGGAGGACACCTCTTTACCTACCCCAAACATAAGGGATAATTTTAGCTAAAAGCTCAGTTTACTTTATCTTGAAGAAGTGAGAAGGTTCTTTCTTTATATTAGAGTAGGGAAAAATATCTAGACTACAAGCAAAATATGCTCTCCTAATTAGACTTTGGAGTCTTGTAAGTTAACATTGAGTACAGAGCTTTCCCCTTTTAGTGGACCATATGTGGCACATATTCAGATTAGTCCAGCCAGTTGGTTCCGGATACCAAATGATTAACCAAAAATATGAAAATATAGTATGCAAAAATCTCTAGAAAGCAAGCAAAATAAGCTCTCCTAATTAGATTTTGGAGTCTTATGAGTTAACATTGACTAGAGGCCTATGGCCTTCCCTAAACAACAACAACAACAACAACAAACCTTACCCATCATCCTCGGTGTAATCCCACAAGTGGAGTCTAGGGAGGGTATGTGTACGTAGACCTTAACCCTATCTTCCCTAAAAATTACTCAAATAGAATTTCATGATTTTCTTGAGTTACAAAACGAAATACACAAAAACGTAGTAAACTAAAAGTAAGCAAAATAAGAAAAATTATTCACAGAGATCAACTGAAAATACCTTCTTAGCTTGTGATCCAATCTTTGCTTGGCTTCTCTAGCTTTTTCACCTAGCTCCTCATCCTTGTATCCATGGTTTCCTATACTAATTCTTTGTTCTTTCTGCTCATGCAAATGCAAAAAACATGAAATATATAAAGTTATTCTTTTAACTAAATTCACGTCAAAATTCTCCACAAGATTTGGGTACACATACCTGGGAAGAAGCAGAAGAGGAAAATGAATCGAATGATCGGAGCTGAAAACCCCTTTTTGTAATACACAGAATTCCAATAAATAAACCTGACATTTAATATGGTTGTGATCTTAATTGGAGAAATTGAGGAAAAAAAATGTCAATTTACAACTTTATAAGAACATGGTCTCTTGAATTTCTGTAGGTTTGTCCTTTGGAAGATATTAGGAATCTAATAGTAGGATAAGTTTTCCAGAAAAATAGGAATATTTAGGAATTAAGAAAGTGTTAATCTATTAATCTCTCCGTTCGCTTTTACTTGCCATTTATCCTAAAAATAAATTTTTTGTTTTAAATAAAATTTTATTTATGGTGAATGTCTATATTTAGGGAGATTCTAGGGTTTATTACTTGGTGGCTAAGTCACCATTTCCCTATAAATAGAGTATTTCTATTCCATTGTAATTCGCCCCAAATCAATAAGAATTCTCTCTCCCTGCTTTTCTTTCTTCTTTTATTATTTCATAACACGTTATTAGCACGAAACTCTAACCAATTGAGTAGAAGCTTTGGGATTGAGCATAATGATTGTCAATTATTCCATGAACTTCCTTCATGATTAAATTTTAGATTTAAGGTAAGTATTTTACTTTAGTTTTCTCTTTTATATTATTGAAATTCTATAATTTAATTTTATATACAAGCAAAGACGACAAAGTTTGATTATAACTCTAATGGAGTTTGTAAGAAATTATAACCATCTGAAGTGGTAAAATTTATATGCCTCGCCATGATCAAATTCATGTATGATTGTGGGCAAAGAATGAAAATCCGTCCCATTGAATTTGCTCCATTCTCATTCCCTTAAGAGAATGTGATAGCAGTATGTACTACGTCTGAAAGAAGACAAATTTATTACCATGAATAATCAATGGATGTGGACGTGGCAATAGACGAAATTATATCGTCATCATTGTAGTAATGAGAACAATAAGTATTCTCAAAATAATCATTCATTATGTGAAAGTAATATTTGTCATCGATTTGACATGAGATTTTGTAAAACACATATAGATGAATATGGTTCATTCATGATTTGAATGTGACAACATGTGATTTATGAATACATATTCATTCTTCAAAGAATATGAACGTGCTAGTGGTAGTGAATGTACCGCACTCACCTCTAAAAGGAGGTTTGAGATGATATAAGAAAGTAATGTCATTATTATGGCATGAATGGTCATTGGTCACGTACCTATTGTACGCCAAAATATTTTGGCAATATGATTATTAAAGGACAACAATAATGCAAGAAACATATCTCGCATATAATTTTGACCATGACCATAATGGTATAACTTTCTCCTTAAAAGAGATATTCACCATATGGGTGTTGATGAATATGTGGTACTACAAAATTAATTGAGAACTCTGCAAGAGCCAATTATATTATTTTGGAGAACACAATTGATTACCAATAAGGTATTGTGTTGTAGTAAGTCTCAAAGAAACTTATTCAGTTTCCAAAGTATACGCGAAAGCGGTTGGTTATATTGAGACTATAAATAAAGGAAAGATTTAATATCTTCTATTACTACAACTTGTAGCGGGGTAATATGTATGTGAAAAGCTACCCGCTTTATTCTCCTGTTTGTACTACACAAACAAAAGAATGCCACAATAAAGAGAAGTTTATTGATACAAAAACCCATATCATAATAAACTTGGAGTTTATTGATAATTGCACACGTCATGGTGTAAATATGAAGTTTATCAATATTGATAATATATTCAGTTGGCATAATTGGTTTACCCATATCAATTTAAGTATGATGTGCAAAAATAAAAGAGAATTCACATGGGTAAATATTAAAGAACTAGAAAGTTCTTTACGAATTCTTTTACATTGCTTGTTCTCATTAATTAATAGATCAACTAAAATTGGGATCGAATCCCATGAATACTGGAAATATCAAAGGTGAATATGGGCCCATTCACCTGCCATGTATACCACATAAGATGCATCTATGAGATGGTTACATGTGCGATTATTATTAACCCGCAACCTGGCCGGTGTTTGCGAGGTAACTTGCTCACTAATTTAATTTCGAGCATAATTTCCAGATTTGCTATTCAAGAAGTTCATCTTGATAAGTTGGTCTACATCACAGCTGGTTTAGCAAAATGATTTATTGAGTGCCTCCACTTAATAGCTAAACAATTACTTATGAGAACAAAGTTTTGTATATCAGTTTGATATACGTTATATACGAAAGTATATTAATTTCTCCCCTCACAAGTAGTTCATGGTCAGGAACCAAATAATTCCATCTTATTATAATTGATGTGAGGTGTATATTTTGATTAACACCATAACGCACAAAGATGGGTTCTCAAAGTTGAGGAAACAAGTTAGTTTTTCTAACACGAGGGGGAGACAAGATACAACAGTTGAGAAAAAGTTACATGGAATGAATTATCATGTATACATCTAGATCCTCGAATAAAATAATATGAACTTGAAGTTCATAAAAGGATAATTCATGTGCAATATATTGCAAAGCATGCTAGACGCATTTGCTGGCCCAAAAAGTAACTATATTCTCATTGCAAATGCTCATATTAATTCCTAGAAGGACAAAGTCTATGGTACGCTTAAAGCATATAGACAAATCAGTTTCAAATAAACTTCTTGATAAAGAAGATGAGCAAATGATCAAAATGATCATAATAAAGGAGGCAAGTGATCTAGAAGATCACATGACATAATACTTCATAAAATCTCATGAGAGATTCAGGTACCTGAATATATGAATGAAGAGATCTCTATGTTATGTCTTTATGAAAATAAGGAGGTTGGAATCGATATAAAATGTTTGTCGACGACATCTATAATAGCGCCAAATATATATGAGGATCTTAAGTCTGGAGAAACAATTCAAATAGAATTGGTTTCATATGAAAGACATGTAGTTTTGAACATATAGTTCAAACACTTGAAAGTATAAAGTCGATGGTTACGTGCAATCAGTTTTCGATATCTTATATGTCTAGCATGACATGAAAACTTGATATGCATATAAAGTCTATTATATGGCTTATATGACTTAACAATCCCTGAAGGATTTAAATTGCTTAAAGCGTATAGAATTCATGGTCATGAAGTACTACATCCTCAATGCAATTTGTGCACAAATGTATCTTGCTATAACTATATGCATGAAAATATGATAGCAAGAGTTTTCACCTCTATGTGAAGATATTGAACTGGCGATTCCAACAAGATCATATGAAGACAATTCATCTCTATCAAGAATGATGATTTCAAGGTGCAATATATTCATTCAAGTTAATATGGCTGATTTGTTTATCAAATATCTACCAACGATCTTTTGAAGATGGTGCACAAGATTGGAATGCAAATGCTTAAAGATGTGAAGTGATGCTCTCATGAGGGGGAGTTAATACGCGTTGAACTCTTTTTCCCTTACAAGGTTTTGTCCCACTAGATTTTCCTTGCAAGGTTTTTAACGAGGCAACCAAAAGGTGTATTGTTAGATATGTGTACTCTTTTTCCTTCTCTAGAATTTTTTTTCCCACTGGGTTTTATTTTGGTTAAGGTTTTAAGAGGCACATTATCTGTTGAATAGACATTCAAGGGGGAGTGTTATAAATAGAATTTTATTTATGGTGAATGTCTATATTTAGGGAGATTCTAGGGTTTATTACTTGGTGGCTAAGTCACCCTTTCCCTATAAATAGAGGGTTTCTATTCCATTGTAATTCACCCCAAATCAATAAGAATTCTCTCTCCCTGCTTTTCTTTGCAATACTCTTCTTTCTTCTTTTATTATTTCATAACATTTTTATTTTACTTAACACTTTACGCATATCAAAAGAATGACAACTTTTTTTCCTGTTATACCCACAATATTTATTACTCATTTCAAATCATTTCCTCAAATCCAATAAAATATGCATCAATTAATATGATTATCATGGTAAATTATTTATTATTTTTATCATTTTTAAAGGGATGCAAAAAGTCAAAAGGTACCAAGTAAGTGAACGGAGCGAATAATAAGTAGGATAATCTTCTCTTAAATTAGTTGTCATTTAATGCTCGTTCAGAGTTAACCTGACTAATTTTCGAAGCTAAACTGTTTTAATAGCTTGTTTTTTAATATACGTTTGGTAATGGATTGTATAGTATTGTATTATATAGTTTTAGTGAATATAATGTTTGAATGAATTATATCATTTGTCTATCGTCGTTTCATGATGCCATCCACTAACAATACGAAAAATAAACTTGTAAATATAAACTGGTAGGTGTTGTTCTGATTTTTTTACCATATTTGGTTCTCCAATTTCCTGAAGTAACGGCATCATATTTACCATAATTTTTTTTCCTTTTACGAAAAGAAAATATAAGTCTTCCATGTTTGGCTAGTCCTTTTCTTGTAGGAAAAGATTTTAGTCTTCTAAAAATTGAGGATCCTTCCTCTCATTTAGTAGCATCCATAATGTAACCATACGGGGTTTGAAAGTCTTGATTAGGGGGAAAATTACGAGACAAATATTAGCCTGCCACTTGTGTTTGCCTTTTTGTGATATTTTTCTCTCGATATTTTGTACTCTCTTTTATATAGTGGATTGCTCATCTCTGCCGTAGATGTATGTCAATTGACTGAACCACGTTAAATGTTTGTGTCTCTTTTGATATATTTCTCTTTTGTTGTCTGATTTATCGTCGTTGAAGGTTTGCTTTGCTAACTTCCGAATGACACCTGATTATTTCGATCCTAAAATCATTATATAACAAGATATAGTAAAGAATAAAATATGATTATTTAATAATAAAAAAGGGTAAAATCAGAGGAAAAATAAGGTAACAATGCGTTCACCCAAAATCGAGCGTTACATAAAGTGACAATTTTTGTCATTACAGAACGACGAATTTAACAATACGATACAATAAAATTAAGTGATAATTAAAATAAATATTGTATTTAAAATTTGGTATTTGGAATCAGTGTTGGACTAATTCAAGTTTGCGTACATAGCAAAGCTTAACGTGCCTAGAAAAGTTATTATTTGAGACTTGGACGTAAACTGTTGGTTTATTGACATACCAACTCAAACTTTCGATAATGGCAAACTAATGAGCACAAATGCTTATCTGAATCAGAACTGCTACTACTATTTTTTATGGGATGATATCTAATTAAGTATCAAGTTTAAGATATTCATTTGAAATTCAAATTTATCAAAAA